TCACGGCCGGGCGTCGTAACCGCCGTGCTGTCACCATGGGTGGTAGAAGTGGACGGGGTACCCCGTCACGTCAAAGATCTGCGGCGGCGGCAGGGAGTCTCTCCGCACCGTGATGGAGCGGCTGCGCAGCGAGGCGTGACGCGGTGCTCCGCCGGGCCCGCGGTTGATGATCCGCCGTTGCTCATCACTACGAGCGTCGCGGCCCCCGACTCGGCGGCCATCGTGGCCGGCGACCCGGCTGTGGCGGTTGGTGGAGCGCCGGGGAGTGTGGCGACTGTAGCACCCGCGGCATCTTCTTCTGGCACGTCATCGACCGTGTTGACACCGGCGGCCGTTGGAGCGGCGCCTGAGACTTCTTCGGCGGAACCAGGGGCGACTGAGCAAAGTGGTCTGCGTCGAAGCGCACGGAGACCAGTCGAAGTGAAACGCTTCTGCTGCGAGTTTGGTTATTGTGTGGATTCGCAACATAATTAAGTGATCTTGAAGATCAGGTGGGGGTGTGGTGTTGGGTTAAGTTCGGTGCGTACCGCCCCAGCAAGCTGCCTGGGAGCGCCCGTGCGCAGCCCCGAGACTGCCTGGACTCGCCCGTGCGTCGCCCGGGGCGGGACGTGACCAGACTGGGTCGGTCGCGCGGCGCGCGGCCCGCGCCAGTGGGCTGGCGGAGTGTGCGGGACGCGGGCGGAGTGAGCGTGACGGACTCGGACTCTGAGACGGACCGATCGCAGACGGACTGGACGGGGCCCGTCTGCAGGAGACGACTACGCGTGTGCCGGTGCGTCTACATTAGTCTTCACTCCAAGTAAGTCCCATTACTTGCGATTACACTATTGCTTCCAAATAAAGTCGCTAGGAACAGCGGAGATACCAAAAAGTAAACAAAAGTAAAAGTCTAATATCTTGAAAACCAGTTGATATTTTTCGGTGAAATTTGGTAGATATTCGTTTTCGCTCTTTCTGAACCGAGTGACATCACTTTCATGCCAATTCATTAACCTTTTTGAAGGTGGAAGGGTCCCTTTAAATTTACACTTGCATCTCAAATTGACTTTCAACAAAGGACAAACTGACCCTCTTCAAAATCACCTGGTGGAAAACTGAGATATCATTACTTAAAAATTTTGCCACCAGGTGGTTGCCAAGACGTACCACTTCTGATACAGCAGGGTTTTCAACAATTTTCACCTCTATGATTAGCAGGCGAATTTTCTGCAAATTGACTTACAGATATGATACCGGGGGCACTAGAGGGTTAAGCTTTTCAGTGTTGAAGATGCGAGTGACTTGTTGGGTAACAAGCCGGCCATGATCGTGTAAAATGGCTTCATCGTAGATCGATTAGCTTCTGAGATATAACCGGAAATTTAAAAGTGCAAAACCTACCGCTTAAAGGGACAGTATCACCATTTTGATGAAATTTGACATTGCATAGGCCCCACCTTTCTGGTCCGGGAACTGAAGACCGATCCTCGAAGCTCCACACCGTTATCCCGCTATCGCCGCTCAAAGTACGAAAGGTGTACTACACTTTGAATCGTGCTTCACTATCTTCACTGTTTAAATGTTTGCGCCGTTTTGAATTGACCGCCAGTAATAAAACTTTTACCCTGGTCATTTCATCAAATTTTATAAAGCCAAAACGTTTTTCGCACTTATTCATCACCGTTAAATTCATTAAATAGTCGTAGGCAATTTCCGCTGTTTCCTTCGGATTCTAGCGGCTCAACAAAGGAATTCCTCCAGCTTGAATCACAATCTCCCTCCAATGTATGACGTATATGTATGACGTCATCTGATCAGTCTCGATCTCAACGACAACTCAATCAGAAGAGCGGCCGCGTAAGCGTAGCGTCAATAATGTATTATCTGCGCCAGTTCTGTAGTAATTTCGCAGGCTTCCAAAGTGGCGGCCATGCTTGTAGTGGTGGTTCGCTCATGAAAATGACTCGCTCATGAAAAAATATTTTTCACCGAGTTCGGTCCTCAAACTATGTTTTTCTGATTCAGAAAAATAAGAAATGCTAGTAAAAAAAAAAATCAGCTCCATACATTGATCTTTTTTTCGATGATACTGTCCCTTTAAAGGGACCCTCCCACCTTCAAAAAAGTTAATGAATTGGCATGAAAGTGATGTCGCTCGATTCAGAAAGAGCAAAAACAAATATCTACCAAATTTCACCGAAAAATATTCACCGGTTTTCAAGATATTAGACTTTTACTTTTGTTTACTTTTTTGGGATATCCGCTGTTCCTAGCGACTTCATTTTGGAAGTGCGGCGTTCGCGGCAGATGTTGCGCGCAAATAGCATATACCACCACTGCTTTACAAAGATGTTAGTATAAGGTTTTAAAATCGTTAGATCACCGCTGACGTCACGAATTCTAAGGGGGCATCTCAATGTATTAGCCCCTTAGAATCCGAAAACTGCAAGTTTGAAATTCCATATCTCCGAATTAAAGCATTTTTGGATGTTGTGAGTGCCGAAACCGGTATTTGCAGGCCATGGCCACCAATTTGGCTATCTCAACTCAAAACTAATGTTAAGGTGGGATGGTCACTTTAACCTCGCGAGACCTGTACTCACATACCTGGAGGTTGTGTGGGCACGAAATGTCGATTGCTCCAAAGTGCCGCACAGACGCCTACCAAGTTGGTATGGGCATTCCACGACAAATCGACAAGTGCCCTGCACCCTCATATTTTGTGTTTTGCTTAAAATTGGTCTAATGGGTTGTGATGGGCGGGGAAGCCAGCTGTGGCAAGGATTTTTTTCTTCGAACAACGGTTTCCGAGATATAGCCTCGGGCAATTCCTGGATGTCGCACTGCAGCCCTGTGTTTGGCGGCCTATAACTAAAAAACTATTGGTTTTCTACGATAAAAACTTTATATGGTTCAACTCACAATCAACCAACAAACATTTTGGCTATCTCGGATTTTCAATTTTTGAAAATTTTGATCACGTGACCTTTTGACCTATTTTTCGAAGAGTGACCTTGATATTTTCCCCACTGAAAGTTGCGATTTTGTCTGATGACGATTAAAGCCTTATCAATTGTCATTCATATGCGAAAATAAAAAAGTGGATATCGCCCTGCGTTGACCTCAGGTCAGGTCATTTTTATGACCTGTCCATTATTACGAGCGGGAGCGACAGCGAGATCTCGAGAATAAAGCAAGATAGCGACAAGCGGTAAACGGTGCAGGGTACAAATGGATAAGGTCTATAATTTTTACTGAGGTCATTTTCAGGTCAGGCCAAAGATGACGTCACAGGAGCAAAAAGGAAGTCAAAATTGCGGCACTGCATATATATGAAGTTTTTCTCGAATAACTTTCAAGGTATCCCAGCTAGGAACAAACTAATATCACCATCGCGATCCTCTCGTCGATCCGCATCGAAACATATGTATGTTGACCTCGAAAGGTCGAAAGGTCAAAAGTTGACCTTAGGTCACGTGACCTAAGGTCAACTTTTGACCTTTCGACCTTTCGAGGTCGACATACATATGTTTCGATGCGGATCGACGAGAGGATCACGATGGTGCTATTAGTTTGTTCCTAGCTGGGATACCTTGAAAGTTATTCGAGAAAAGCTTCATATATGTAGTGCCGCAATTTTTACTTCCTTTTTGCTCCTGTGACGTCATCTTTGACCTGACCTGAAAATGACCTCGATAAAAATTATAGACCTTATCCGTGTGTACCCTGCACCGTTTACCGCTTGTCGCTATCTTGCTTTATTCTCGAGATCTCGCTGTCGCTCCCGCTCGTCACGTGACCTAAGGTCAACTTTTGACCTTTCGACCTTTCGAGGTCAACATACATATATTTCGATGCGAATCGACGAGAGGATCACGATGGTGCTATTAGTGTGTTCCTAGCTGGGATACCTTGAAAGTTATTCTAGAAAAAACTTCATATATATGTAGTGCCGCAATTTTGACTTCCTTTTTGCTCCTGTGACGTCATCTTTGACCTGACCTGAAAATGACCTCAGTAAAAATTATAGACCTTATCCATTTGTACCCTGCACCCTTTACCGCTTGTCGCTATCTTGCTTTATTCTCGAGATCTCGCTGTCGCTCCCGCTCGTAATAATGGACAGGTCATAAAAATGACCTGACCTGAGGTCAACGCAGGGCGATATCCACTTTTTTATTTTCGCATATGAATGACAATTGATAAGGCCTTAATCGTCATCAGACAAAATCGCAACTTTCAGTGGGAAAAATATCAAGGTCACTCTTCGAAAAATAGGTCAAAAGGTCACGTGATCAAAATTTTCAAAAATTGAAAATCCGAGATAGCCAAAATGTTTGTTGGCTGATTGTGAGTTGAATCATATAAAGTTTTATCGTAGAAAACCAATAGTTTCTGAGTTATAGGCCGCCAAACATAGGGCTGCAGCGCGACCTGCTGGAATTGCCCGAGGCTATATCTCGGAAACCGTTGTTCGAAGAAAAAAATCCTTGCCACAGCTGGCTTCCCCGCCCATCACAACCCCTTACACCAGTTTTCAACGAAAAATAAAATATGAGGGTGCAAATTTAATTTTTTATTTGTCGATTTGTCGTGGAACGCCCCACATGTGCGATGCTGCGACCAGCGTTCCCTCGCACCATTCCCCGTCGGCCGTCGCCACGAGCCGTCATCTGCCGTGCTGCCTCAGCAGGTCAGCCGGCCACCGCCAACACCCACGGTTCGTCGAAAGGTCATTTCATGCACAAAAGAAACGAAACATGCCATTTGAAAACTGACGGTGAGCAGACTAGAAAAAAATGTACTTTTTATCAAAATCGTTCGATGGCCTTTTTCAAAAATTGCGTTTTTGCATGAAATGACCTTCCGCATGAAATGACCTTCCGACGAAGTACGAACCATGCACCCAGCGCTCAGGTTCATACATACTTACAGGTCAGGAGTCACCACAGCGGCTCTGTCAGCGCAGTGTGAGCCTCATCTTCCATGCGAAAGGTTCATTAAAGCTCTCACAAAACTCATAGCAGGGTGCAAACTTTATTTGATGAATGTTTTAAATCCAACTCCGTCTCTACGTCTCCCAATACTATACAACTGCGTCATTCGCCGGTTAGCTGTCAGGTGTGGACAGGCAGAGTCACCTGTCCGTGACCCTGTCAGCTGTCACCTGTCACCGAGGGAAAGGGTTACGATATTCGTTGCCTGGTGTTGCGGACACAGAGGCACATTTGCCCGTACATTACAAAGAAAAGGAAAAAAACGGCAGAAATAGCGACCAGCGACTGCCAGCAATACGACACAAGCCGTCTGCGCCGTCTGATCGCCGCAGCCTGGTCGTGTCGCACGGCAGTCCCCCCGCTCAGGACTGACAAGGAGCCGTGCGGACTGCAGCCCGTCGCTCCGCTCGGGATGGTAGCAGGGACGAATCGGACGGCAGTCCCCCGCTCCGCTCAGGACTGGCAGGAGGCCGTGAGGACCGCAGTCCGTCGCTCCGCTCAGGACTGGCAGGAGGCCGTGATGGCCGGGCAGGTGGATCCCACACAGGGGAACGGCGCCCGGTCCAGGCGGCACGTCTTGCCGACCGCGCACGCCGGGCACCCGGGTAGACACGTCTTCTGGCAGGTGCCTTTGTAGCCGAACTGGCAGCACTTGAGCGAGCCCGAGCAGCCACCGTCCGAGGAGCACAGGCCGTTCGCCACTGACGAGCTGCACGGCTCCGAGTTCACCGGACAGCTCGTCACTATAACAAAGTCGTCCAGGACAGGGCCGGGACCGGGAGGTGGAACTGGACATCTATGTTGACAGTCCATGACGTTCGTGCCTGGACACTTTATCAACCTGCAAGAAGGGAAACTGCAACTCCCGCCATAACTCAGAGAGCCGTCCGGACATCTTGGTAGTGGTTGCACTTCACCTGAAAACAGACGAGAAAAAAAAACTCCCGTCAAGCAATGGTGGGATCACAAGCGATTAAGCAACGCTCTCTTTTCTAGATGAGTATGAATAGAGTTTCAAATAATTGCCTATACATGACTTATACAAGCCTTAAAATTTGCATGACTTTTTGTGTAAACTAGAAATGAGCTCGATATGACTTGTTAAACGGCAGCCCGAGCCCAGAGTATAAACATGCCTAAATGTTGAAAACTTTTACTTTGACCTCATCTCTGACATCAATGGTGACCTGGCGATTAATAAAGTTAGGGTGTGCCCAACGGTTCTTACAGGGATATCAAATGCCATTTTAATTTCGAAAATCGAGCCAGTATAGTTTCGAAGATAGTAAGGGGCTCTATACTAGTGATGTCAATTACGGAAAATCGGAATACCGATACCAAACCAAATTACCAACCAAAACCGTGGAGAAATACCGAAACCAAACCAACTTGGGAACATGAGGAAAATACCAACCTTTTACCGATTTCTTAGCCTCTTAAACATTAGCGATGGTTCATGATACCAACAAAATACCAAACACATTAGGATTGAAATACCAAATACCGAGTTGGTATCGGTTTGGTATCGGTACACCAAAAAGTTGGTATCCGATTGACATCTCTACTCTATACAGCCCCCCCCCCCCCAGTCAGTTAGGAAATATACCCCAGTCATTCGCGGGTGAATGCCTACAACTTTAACCCTCGCCAGCACAAGCCATTTTGTGTCCTTCGACGGCACAAGGGTACGACCCCCCCCTCGTGTTTGGCCCCTGATCGAGCTAGAGCTTCGCGGAAAAAACGATCGTGCTGCCCGTCACGATAAGAAGCCGATGATACCCAATTTTAAGGTCCTAGGTCATCGGTTGATCTTCCACCAGGTCAGGTCAATGACCCAAAAGTCGGGAAAATCGGGACCTGTTAGAAAGTCGTGAAGTGTGGCTGCTATGGGGTTTTTCGGGGTGCTGATCACGAATATCGTGTTAGTTTTGATCGCAGATGATGTCTCTCTCTAAGCATTTTAATCGGGTCGGGTCAGCTCAGGTCAAGTCAACCAGTAGGGGTCGTGGCGGGTATTCGTAGTATGTGTCAACCGCCTCTGACAGCTTCGTAACATATTACGAAGGCACCAAAACTACTTCGTAAATGTTCAAATCGCTGCTTAATTCGAATTCAGCTAAACAACTAGCCTAGAAACATGAAAAACTCGAAAAAGAGAACCGAGGTCACCAAAGGTCAATGACCTTGACCTGACCTGACCTTAAGGTGACCTTGACATCCACCCTTATGCATGGGAGCAACATCAAATCACATGTTTGAACGTTTGAAACCACGAAAAGCTTGCAAACGCGCGGCTAATGCGAGCCGACATACGCCGAATCGCGCTTCCGGCCAAACATGGTCTCGGAAAGTAGGTCACAGGTCAAAGGTCATTTGGGTCAGGGTCATGAAATTTTCAGGATATGTGTAAAGTTGATCAATGCGAGGGTACTGAGAGTTTCGTTGCGATTGGTCGCTTTTTACGTGAGTTATTTGCGGAAAACCTTAGGGGGGATGCATCAACCCTGTGCCGGCGAGGGTTAAATGCATATGAGCATGATTGACGATAGATTCACCCACGTGACGCAAAGCACACACTCTCTTTATACGAACTCACGTTGAGGGCTAGCCGTTGCGGTCGCCGACAGCAGCAGCAGTGGCAGCAGCATCGACAGGACCATTGCTGGACGACTGAGTGCCATCTCCGCTCATCAGCGACTCAGTGACACGACTGACACCGGGTGCATCACAGATTCATTGGAAGGATCGGTTTAACGCCCCCGAGAGACCTTCAACCGGTGACAGATGATCGACATGTCAAGCTATGACGCGCGCTTACGTGTTGCAAAGGGCAGAGAGGCACCTGGAGGTTGTGTCGGCACGAAATGTCGGGTGCACCAAAGTGCCGAACAGACCCCAACTCGTGCCAATCCCTTCCATCCCCATCACCGGCCGCTCGTGTCAGTGGAAGCCATGTGTGTGTGATTTACACATGCATCTCACACACATTCGCATGAAATGATAAGCAACATAGCTTTTTCATATCACGCGACGCACACGTGCGATGCGACCACCGTTCCCTCGCACCATTCCCCGTCTCCCGTCGCCACGAGCCGTCATCTGCCGTGCTGCCTCAGCAGGCCTGTCGTCCACCGCCACCACCCAGCGCTCAGGTACTTACAGGTCAGGTGTCATCCCGGCGGCTCCGTCAGCGCAGTGTGGGCCTCATCTGCCACGCGGGGAGGCCACAGGTGTCGGCCACAGCCCCGCCCTCCCAACAGCGCCGCGCTGGCACGCCGGGGGGCGATGGAACAGCGGAGGGGAGAAACGACGACGGTTTCTGAAGCCCGTGAAATCAGTGTGAAATGTGTCAGAGCCTAGCAGAGGCGATCACGCTGCTCAAATTTCCCTAGGTTTGCTTTTGGCAGCGCACGTAAATTAATAAACTACCGACCGCCGATTAGCGCGGGAGTGCCGTAATTGGCCGTAATAAGACGTTGTTTCCAAGCGGACGTCCCATAATCAGACGTTCCTTCTGTCAGGGGCATTGGGGCGCCCCTGCTACGGTGACGTCACCGATGTGACCTTGGCCGGTCAGCCGCGCCGGCCGGCGGCTGACCCGGGCGGTCAGTTGGAATACAGCGACCGAGGTGACCGCGTGTGTGAGCGGGCGACGGCCAGTGGCGGCGGAAGGTAATTTTGGATGGGGGTGCAAAGTTTTCTCAAGGGGCCCCTCTGGAAGTTTTGGGCCCCCTTCATTTTTTTTTTTGAGTGATTATTATTGATTTATGAAACACGAAGATTTTGGAAAACTATCCCATACACAAAAGTTTTGTAAAATGTTTGAAATTGCAGTGTACCTATCTATATCAAATAATGAAAGCATAAAGAAGCAAATGCAGCTAGTTTTTTATCGACTAATCTTTTAGTCTAGCCACAGTGGCGCGGGAACCGGGGGGGGGGGGGGGGCTAGCGGGGGCTGAGCCCCCCAGCTTTTCGGCTGAGGGGCTCGTAATGTATTTGAGCCCCTGGCCCCAACCCCCAGCTCGAGGAATTGAAATCGGAAATCTACCAACATAATTTCATAGATTCATACATAGGCGCGGGAACCGGGGGAGGGGTAGTGGGGAAGCGTGCCCGCATAACTCTGCGGCCGTGGGGGCGGTGCCCCACAACTTTTCATGAGGTCAGGAACCGTTGGGCAGCTTGTCCTCCCCAAATTAGGGGTTGTGGGTCACAAAGGAAGAAAGCATTTAAGTGAAAAATCCACCTCTTTCACTGGCTTGGCAACTCATTTGGCAGATTAAAACCTTTACTCCAGGCTGCCAAAACGGTAGTTTCTTCACTCAGCTGAGACGGAATGCCTCACTTTTTTGCATTTTTTTCGTTTTTTTGTTGTTGTTGAAAAGGCCAAAGTCTAAAAATAAGTGGCCTAAAACCGGTGATAAAACTAGATTTGGGGGTACCCTAGGTTGATCTCTATTATGGTTCAGCCCCCCCCCCCCCCCCAGTCTGGAAGAAGTTCCCGCGCCACTGTCTAGCCACCACCCGCAGCGTCTCAAACCATTTTTCTAGATCCGCAGTGGACCGTTGAGGGCCCTACGAGACCGTTCCAAGAAGACCGTGTTTAGAAGCCCCTTGGAAACCGACCACATAGAGACTCCTCCAGAGACCTACATGACTCCCCAGACTGAATGAGCCCTCCGATCAGGGTCGGTCTCTTGAAAGTTGCTAAATGTTTCAGAAGGCAGTATAGGCTCGAAAGTCTTTTGAGGGCTCTCAGAAACCGGCATCTGACCCCCAAAAAGCCTGTATGGAGGCCCTCCAAAGTCGGGATGGAGGCCACAGGAGCCGATGTTTAGCCTAAAGAGCCGGTATGGAGGACTGAATAGAAGAAAGGGGTCCCTTCAGGGGCAAGCGTTTGAGCCCCAAAAGTATGTGTGGGGTCTTAGAGGCAGGTAGACCCCTGAGGTATGCACGGGGTCCCAGGAGCTCGCAAGTGAGCCCAAATATTCGGCTGGCGGCTACTAGAACCAGCATGGGGATTCTTAGAAGCCGCATAGACCCACATTTCATGGGTCAATGGTCATGAGTCCCAAGAGTCGATGTAGGGGCCATAAAAGCCGGTGTAGGACCCATGACCCCATAAGTTACGACATTGAGACTCTCAGAGGCCGGCGACGGGGCACCAAGAGAAGATTAAGTGCCTCAACAAGCCGACATGGGGCCTGAGAATCAGTGCGGAATTCCAGGAGCCTGCGTGAGCCCTCGGAGACCTTCGTATTTCGTAAGGTCCACAAAGGTCGTTGGGCCCTCTGAATCTGAACTCTGCGGGGCCCTCAGAGGCCAGCATGTCTCCTGGCACCTGCCTGCGTTGAGTTGAGAGTTGATACTCTCTGAGGCTAGGGTTCTTCAGAGGCCAGCGTTGGCCCTTGAAGCCTTCGTTAGGCCCTAGAAGCCGTCAAGAGGGCCCTCAGAGGTCAGCATAGCCCCTGGAGCCTGCCTGCGTCGAGGCCCTCAGAGGCCGTCGTGGGGCCCTCAGACGCCAGCGTGGGCCTTTGGAGCTTGCGTTGGGTCTTAGACCATCGTGAGGGAGGGCCCAGAGAGGTCGTCGTCAGGGCCCTCAGCCCCTCAGGGACCGTCCTGGGGTCCTCAGAAGTTGTTGTGAGGGCCCTTAGAAGCCTTCGAGAGGATCATCAGAGGTCGTCATGAGGGTCCTTGGCCACAGTGAGGGTCTTCATGGGCCCTCAGATACCTTTGCAGGGCTCTCAGAGGCCTTGGTAAGACCGCTAGAGGCCATCGTTAGGGCCCTCAATAGACCGTTGCAGGGCCCTCAGATGCCATCATAGCCCCTGCAGCCTGGTTGTGTTGGGGCCCTCAGAGGCCGTCGCTGGGCCGTCTGAAGCCAAATGGGCCCACAGAGACCGTCGTAGAGGCCCTCAGAGGCCAGCGGGGCCTCTGGAGTCCTGTGGGGCCCTCAGCGGTCGTCATGAGGGCCCTTAGTGGTCGTTATAGGGCCCAGGGGACAGAGGTCGTCGTGGGAGCCCTCAGAGATCATCGTAAGGGCCCTCAGAGGCCGTCATAAGGACCCTCAAAGGCCAGCGTGGCCCCTGGAGTCTCCTTGGGGCCCTGGAGTCTCTGTGGCCTGTGGGATCCTCAGCGGTCGTCATGAGGGCCCTTAGTGGCCGTTGTAGGGCCCCAGGGGACAGAGGTTGTCGTGGGAGCCCTCAGAGATCGTCATAAAAGGGCCCTCTGAGGCCGTCGTGGCGGCCCTCAGATGCCGCATGGAGCACCAAATGCGGCTCGGGACACTTCTAGCCGGTGTGGGGGCCCCAAAGACTAGCATGGGGCGTTCCTGACCATAATTGGACATCCCGGATGATTCCACATCAGTGTTCGTTTCCCGATCACTGGTTTTCAGGAGAAAATTTATTGGATGGTGCGATGGGCCCCTCGTACGGATTTTGGGGGTGCAAAAAGATATGTTTGCACCCCCATGTTTTTCGATGGGGGTGCAGCTGCACCCCCTGCACCCCCTATTCCGCCGCCACTGGCGACGGCCAGGGCCCAGGGGCCGTGACACCTTCATCAGATGTCCATGCCAGATCTACGCGACGTGTTGGGCCGTCCGGCGTGTGCCCGTCCGCTGACGGCGTGCGCTGCTGAGGCGGCAGCGTTTGGCACCACCAGTCAGCTGACGTGGCGCTACCGCACGCCGCCGCGCCTTTTCTGTCACACAACGCGCCAAAAGCGAGTCGCCACGCCCCGGCCAGATGTGGTCCAAAGGGCACAGGCCCGTCAACACACTCGTCTAGCTGTTTGAACCGCTTATGTACAACTGGATGGTAGCAATGTGGTGTTCAGGAGAAGGAGAATTCAGGAGAAGTGAGTATCTGTTTTTATCTATGCGAATATTTCTTATGTACATAATGCGTTCAGTGCCTCTTGAACATCTATTGTCTATATAAAGTTAAACCTAAAATGCGTTTAAAAACGATTCCAGATATATATAATAACGCTACCCTCATTTAGGTTAGGCATGAGCCTGTGCCGGCGGCAATGATTCCACTCTCATCACGAGACGTGAGTACCCGGTGCCCGTGAATATATCTAAACAGCCGCTCTCACCACCCAATCTGCAGGACCTAATCGGCAATCAGGCTGATTTCCGACGGACCGTCAGTCGGTTTCCGGCGCACAATGGACGCGACTGACGTGTCAGCACCTGTCCCCATCTGATCCCCTCATGGCAGCGGGCTACCGCTGAGCTGGCACCGGCAGGGGCCGCGTTACACTACCACAGAACGTACGGCCGAAACAGCGAGCGACACGACACGTTGGAATTGGAAAACATGATAGGCAATGAACAATAAATAATCTATGGACGGATGTGGTGGAGGTGCGTAATGTGTAGGTTAGGTATGCCGCCCTTGCTTAGGAAGAAGCAGGAATGCTGGAGGCTGGGTGGTCGTGTCGTTGGCAGGTCGTGATGACTCTGCATCGAAAATAGACATGAAATGAGTTTGCTGTCAAATAAAAGTACGAGGATTTGGAAACTGGGAAAAAGAGAGCATAACGAATTTAAGTGCACCTCTTATGCACAAACTTTCTAAAACCAAAAGCAGGTGTTGTCGTGTCTCCCCTATGACCAGATGACGAGCAATGAGGACAGCGCCGACTATCCCGCCGGCTACCAGCTCAACGCAGTACGAGTGGGCATCTGTCGTATACCTACCAGCAGCACTGCAAGTTATACTGTCC